AGAATAGCAAGGCAGAAAATCCCACAATATCTGCTTTGAACTGCATTATCTGGGTCCACACTGCCATAGATTCCAGTTCAAAGCAGGTAATGTGGGATTTTATTCAGCTGTGTGGAAGAGGCCTCAGACTACAACTCCCAGGCCAGAGACCAACCTGGCTCAATATATCTGGAAGTATCAGTTCACAAAAATGTTCTTCTAAGGCAGTGTTTCTCAGTCTTCTTAATGTCGCAACCCCTTAATACAGTTCCTCGTGTTGTGGTTTTTTTTCGGGGGGGGGGGGGGTTGTCGGGTCAGGAGCGACTTGAGAAACCAAGTCGCTTCTGGTGTGAGAGAATTGGCCGTCTGCAAGGACGTTGCCCAGGAGACGCCGGGATGATTTGATGTTTTATCATCCTGGTGGGAGGCTTCTCTCATGTCCCCGCATGAGGAGTTGGAGCTGATAGAGGAGATGGAGCTCATCCACCTCTCCCTGGATTCGAACCTACGACCTATCGGTCTTCAGTCCTGCTGGCACAGGGGTTTAACCAACTGCGCCACCGGGGGCTCTCTCAAGTTGTGGTGACTCCCAACCATAACATTATTTTTGTTGCTATTTCATAACTGTCATTTTGCTACTGTTATGAATCGTAATGTAAATATCTGATATGCAGGATGTATTTTCATTCACTGGACCAAATTTGGCACAAATACCCCATCCGCCCCGGAGCCCCCGGTGGCGCAGTGGGTTAAAGCACTGAGCTGCTGAGCTTGTTGATTGAAAGGTCGCAGGTTCGATTCCAGGGAGCGGCGTGAGCTTCCGCTGTCAGCCCTAGCTTCTGCCAACCTAGCCGTTCGAAAACATGCAAATGTGAGTAGATTAATAGGTACCGCTCCGGCGGGAAGGTAACGGCGCTCCATGCAGTCATGCCGGCCACATGACCTTGGAGGTGTCTACGGACAACATTGGCTCTTCGGCTTAGAAATGGAGATGAGCACCAACCCCCAGAGTCAGACATGACTGGACTTAATGTCAGGGGACTACCTTTACCTTTACCTTACCCCATACGCCCAAATTTGAATACTGATGATGTTGGGGAGGGAGTATTGATATTGTCATTCTGTAGTTGTAGTTGCTGGGACTTATAGTTCACCTACAAGCAAAGAGCATTCTGAACTCCACTAATGATGGAATTGTACCAAACTTGGCACACAGGACTCCCATGATCAACAGAAAATACTGGAAGGGTTGGTGGGCATTGACCTTGGAGTTGTGGAGTTGTTGTTCACCTACATCCAGAGAGCACTGTGGAATCAAACAATGATGGATCTGGACCAAACTTGGCAAGAATACTCAATATGCCCAAATGTGAACACTGGTGGAGTTTGGGTGAAATAAACCTTGACATTTGTGAGTTGTAGTTGCTGGGATTTATAGTTCACTACAATCAAAGAGCATTCTGAACCCCACTAATGATAGCATTGGGCCAAACCTCCCACATAGAAACCCCATGACCAACAGAAAATAATGAATTTTCTGATGGTCTTTGGTAACCCCTCTGACACCTCCTCATGCCCCCCATTCCTGGGTCCCGATCCACAGGTTGAGAAACGCTGCTCTAAGTTCTTACATATCAGTAAGAATTTTACACAATTGGGTGTGATGTGATGAGATAATATTGCACTTGATGCAAAGAGTGACGTAAGTCAGCAAAATTACAAGACGCAGTATCCCACAGTCGTCTTTTTCTACACTCCACCCACGCTCTGGATTTACATGGGTAGGAGCAAAGCAAGATCCCTATTACACTCTTATCAGGTTCTGCCATTCTGCAAAGCTGAGACAACTGCCTCAAGCAGCTGATTCTAGGGAGTGGCAGCTGTCCCTTCTGAACTTCCTGACTTTTTTCTTCTGTTATGTAACTAAATTGATGTGAGCAGTTCCAGAGCCACATATGTCCAAGGCCCCTTGGGTTAGCCATCCTTGCAGCCTCAAGGATGGCTAGGAGGACTGTATCTTATTGCCAAAGGGAAGGTTAAATTACCAGTCTGGTGAGATTTTGTATGTGGATTGGGGACAGGATACCACATTGTTGCTTGCTGCACTAAAAATGCTGTGGGTTGGCCCCTATTCTTATTCAATGGCTACTTGTGTTTTTAATAAAATGATATAGATTGTGAAGCCCACCAGGTGTCAATAGACTGCAATTTTCATCAGTAGTAGCAAGGAATACAGTTAATTCAGCTCAACAATATCTGGAGGGACCCACAATTTCAACCGGGGAGGAAGCCCCCGTGGCACAGTGGGTTAAACCACTGAGCTGCTGAACTTACTGACTAAACAGTTGCAAGTTCTAATCTGGGGGGCAGGGTGAGCTCCCGCAGTTAGCTTCCGCTTCTGCGGTTCGAAAACATGTAAATGTGAATAGATCAATAGGTACCGCTCTGGTGGGAAGGTAACAGCTCTCCATGCAGTCATGCTGGCCACAAGACCTTGGAGGTGTCTCGGCCCAACGCCAGCTCTTCATCTTAGAAATGGAGATGAGCACCAACCCACAGAGTCAGACACAACTGGATTTAATGTCAGGGGAAAACCTTTACCTTTACCTAAGTAAGGGCTCATTTGGCCCCTTCTCCAGTACCATATAATATTTATTTATTTACTTATGACAGTATATGCCGCCCTTCTCACCTCAAAGGGGACTCAGAGTGGCTTACAAGATATCTGTCTATCTATCTATATGTATATGTGTGTGTGTGTGTATGTATATATATATATATATATATATATATACACACACACACACACACACACACATACACACACACAATATTCTATATTATTAGCATAGTACAATATCAGTATTAAATATTACTATATTGTATTATACCATTATATTGTAATATTATTAGTAATATTACATGTAATATAAATCTATAATTATAATATTACATTATTAGTATTATATTGCATTACATTATAATATTATAATCCATATTATCGAAACAGATAATTCACAGTATCTGCTTTGAATTGGATTGAATCTACACTGCCAAATAATCCGAATTTGAACTGCCAAGCTTTCGATCAGCAAGTTCAGCGGCTCAGCGGTTTAACCCGCTGCGCCACCAGGGGTTCCTTTTTCATATCTAAGCATATCTAAAAATAGGGTGCATCTTAGAATTGCAAGCATTTCTTATGTATGGTACTGAAATTCAGGTTCATCTTACAATCAAAGATGTCTTACGATTGAAGAAATACAGTAATACATGTTGACTCCACTTTAACTGCCATGAGTCAATGTGATGGAAAATTGGGAGTTGTAGTGTTACAAGCTGTGTAGTTTTCTCTGCCAAAGAGCTCTGGTACTTTACAAAACTCACAGGATTTCATAGCATGGAGCCTTTGCAGTTAAAGTTGGAGTCAAACAACATTGGAGATGCACTTTCAGAAATGTCTTGGAAGATAGAAATTGAATGACAACCAGCAATATCCCACTAGTTTTACTGGGACCCTTTCTACATTGCCATATAAAATAATGAAGAGAGGGGGGCTACAGTTGAAGACAGTTCCATCTTGTCTTCTGTGCTTTACTAATAATATAATATAATATAATATAATATAATATAATATAATATAATATAATATAATATAATATAATATAATGTATATACATATATTTATAACAATATAATATAATATAATAATACAATATTATAATTATATATATTTATATTACATGTAATATTACTAATAATATTACAATATAATGGTGTGATACAATATAGTAATATATAATACTGATATTGTGCTATGCTAATGATATAATGTATTGTCTGTCTATCCATCTATCTATCTATCTATCTATCTATCTATCTATCTATCTATCTTGTAAGCTGCTCTGAGTCCCCGTTGGGGTGAGAAGGGCGGCATATAAATGTCGTAAATAAATAAATAAATAAATATAAAATACAGATTATCAGCTTTGAAAAGGATTATGGCTGGATCTATACTGCCCTATACCCCAGGATCTGATTCCAGATTATTTGCTTTGAACTGGATTATATGAATCTACATGGCTACATAATCTGGGATAATCAGATAATCAGGGATCAGATCCTGGGATAGAGGATAGTAGATCAGATTATATGTAGACTCATAAAATCCAATTRAAAGCAGATAATGTGGATTATCTACTTTGATAATCCGGATTATATGGTAGTGCAGAACCAACTTTAGGCCCCTTGAGCCCCATATACACTGCGATATAAAATCCAGATTATTTGTTTTGAACTGGATTATATGAATCTACACTGTCAGATAATCTGGGATAATCAGATAATCTGGGATCAGATCCTGGGATATTGGATAGTAGATCAGATTATATGTAGACTCATATAATCCAATTAAAAGCAGATAATGTGGATTACCTACTTTGATAATCTGGATTATATGGCAGTGCAGAACCAACTTTAGGCCCCTTGAGCCCCATCTACACTGCGATATAAAATTCCAGATTATCTGATTTGAACTGGACTATATGGTAATGTAAATGCATATAATCCAGTTCAAAGCAGATAATATGGATCATCTGCTTTGATAATCTGGATTACATGGCAGTGTAGATCCAGCCTTCTACATTGCCCTATATCCCAGGATATGATTCCAGATTATCTGGCAGTAGAGACTGATATAATCCAGTTTAAAGCAGATAATATGGGATTAGATCCTGGTATTCAGGCCAGTGTAGATCCAGCCTTGGTTCCCTCCATCTCTGTCCCTTTTTCCTTCTGCTGTTCATCTTCAAATCCTAATTGTATGCCTAGGAAATGTCTTTTCTCCCCAACTGATTGCCTGTCAATAGAACTCAAAGCTGTGTCAGTCTGGATCAGTATGTGACAAGATCCCTTTGCATACTCATTGCATGTAAGCAAAAGAATGGGATAAAGCTGCAATAAATGGAAATTACAAAAATATTTGAAGCTATCAATAGAATGAATTCCAAATGGAGAATGCTTACCGTGGTCAGACTTTTCTGTTCAGAAAAAGCAGAGTGGTTTGCTGTCTGGCTAAATTGCTCCGTCACACCTTCCTTGCTTTTGCTGCAATGGGATAACATTCCTTGCAAGTCTGTCCATGTTGCTGCACAGCTATTTGGCAGGGCTGTGCCATTAACAGTAATAACCCTTCTGCGGTTGCCGTGCAGCGGCAGGCATTAATGCCGCTCCATGGCAGCCGAAAACAAGACACCTTGCTCACTGAAGAGCACACGTTTCCCATCTACGAACATAAACGCTGGCATGATGTGCTAAACACTGTTCCTAAGATATGGTCAGAGAGACCTCAAGAATGTAGCTGGAGCTTGGTTTCCTTTTAACTTTTTTTTAAAGAGTCTGAAACCCATTTGTCATGTTTGCTTCCCTCATTGGATTCAGCTATGAGAACACTTCAAGACAAGAAACCTTGCCAATAGCAGTAATTTGACAGGTGGGCTGAGCAAATTGTGGCCTTCCAATTGTGCTACAACTCCTATTATTCCTGTCTTTCCATTTAGTACACAGTCAAGCAGAATCTGAAAGGCAACATATTTTGCCCATGAGCAACTCAAGAAACAAATCAACTTCTAATAAGGATATTTAATCAGGAGTGAGTCCCACCGATATTATAATAATAATAGTAGTAATAATAATAATAATAATAATCATCATCATCATCATCATCATCATAATAGCAAATGGAACTCTGAAAAAGGAGATGGAGGGTCTGATTCTGGCAGCCCAAGAACAAGCCATAGGAACCAATGCTATCAAAGCCAGAATTGAACAGTCGACAACAGATCCCAAGTGTAGTCTCTGCAAGGAAGCAGATGAAACAATAGATCGCATCCTCAGGTGCTGCAAGAAGGTTGTGCAGACAGACTACAAGCAGAGGCATAACACTGTTGCTCAGATGATTCATTGGAACTTGTGCCACAAATACCATCTCCTTGCGACAAAGAACTGGTGGGATCACACGCTGGAAAATGTTACAGAGAATGAACATGTCAAGCTACTCTGGCACTTCCAAATTCAGACAGACAGAGTTTTGGAGCACAATACTCTTGACCTCACGATTGTGTTAAAAAACAAAGTATGGATTGTCGATGTTGCAATCCCAGGTGGCAGCAGGATTTAAGAGAAACAACTGGAAAAGCTGACACGATATGAGGATTTAAAGATCAAACTACATAGACTCTGGCACAAGCCAGTCACCCAGTGGTGATCGGTATGTTGGGTGCAGTGCCTAAAGACCCTGGACTGCACTTAAACACAATCGGTGCTGATAAAATTACCATCTGCCAGCTGCAGAAGCTGCAGAAGACCACGTTACTGGGATCCGCATGCATCATTCGCCGATACATCACACAATCCTAGACACTTGGGAAGTGTCCGATGTATGATCCAGTTCAACAGCCAGCAGAGTGTCTGCTGTGGACTCATCTTGTTGTGTTTCAAATAATAATAATWATWATWATTATTATTTATTTATTTATTTATTTATTTATTTATTTATACCCCGCCACYATCTCCCCAACTCGGGGTGGCTTACATGAGGCCAAGCCCAACAATACAGCAATGCAAATAAACAATATGCAAGAAAAGTAATATATATATATATAAATAAAAATAAATAAAATACAAGAACCTATATAAATAAGCACATCAAGCAATGTAAAATCGCAATAATTTAAACACAGAAAATAAATCACAGTGGGCACGGGCCGGTAGCAAGGATTAAAAAGTTTAAACACTGGGTGAGAAAGCAATGTATTGTATCTGGACAGGGTATCAGAGGGACGAAAATAGGGTTTAATTGCACTAGTAGGTAGAAAATAAAGTGTTTCCAAGGGCATTTTTTTTTTGCAAGGTTTGGTCAGGTCAGGGGTTATAGTTCAGTTCATCATTCCTTGAAGGCACASCGGAACAGCCAAGTTTTCAAGCTCTTCCTAAAGACTGCCAGGGTGGGGGCTTGCCTAATTTCTCTGGGGAGCGAATTCCAGAGCTGAGGGGCCACCACAGAGAAGGCCCTCTCTCGTCCCCACAAGTCRCACTTGCAATGGAGGCAGGAGCGCAAGAAGGGCCTCTCTGGARGATTGAGTTGAACTGATATTTTGGCCCTTAGCCCCTATCTGGCCTAACCAGCATATGCAATGACAAGAGGTTATGGGTGTTGTAGTCCCAAAATATACTGCATTTCTTCCATTCTAAGAACATTTCTCTCTATATAAATATATMAAAAAATGGAGTATGTCTTAGGGCCCATCCAGACAGGCCCTATATCCCAAGATCTGATCCCAGGTTTTCTGCTTTAAACTAGATTATATGATTCCCCACTGCTAGGTAAACAGAAAACCTGGGATCGGATTCTGGGATATAGGGCCTGTATGGAAGGGCCTTTTAGAATCGCAGGCATTATCTCTGAGGATTTGTAAAAAGGCACCATGATGTAAATGGGTTGACTGGAAAGACATGTGTCGGCAGCTGATTGGCTGAACATGACAGGAGCCAGAATTCTGATTGGCTACTGTTTCTGTCTTGCTGCTGAGACAAACAGTTTAACTGCCACTTTCACCTCGGAGAGTGAAAAGAGCGCTGACTGGAAACCGCCAGGAAGGAAATGGCTGCCAACTTTTGGCTTTTAAGTCTCTTCTGCTGTGTTTTACAGTGTTTTTATGAGTGATGGTGTATTGAGTCCAAATTAGGTGTCAATTCGTCCAGTGGTTTTTGAATTACATTAATTCCACAAACCAACATGACATTTTTATTTATATAGATTGATAATTATATGTTATTATCCTTTTCTTAGGTTTCTGTATGTGAGGCATTAAATTTTGCCATAATTATGTTGGAAAACGCTTTGATTTCCCTATTTGGGGGGCAGGGGGAGAAAAGCAGCATACAAGTGAAGTAAATAATAAATAAATAAAATGAATGCAGTTTGGCTTCACTTTGGAATCCTGGGAGATTGTAGTTTGGCGAAGCACCAGCGCCCTTTTGCAGAGAAGGCTGCAGACCTTGTAAAACTACACCTCCCATTATTCCATGGCATTGAGTTGTGACAATTAAAGTGCTGTCTAGTGTAGATTAAAGTGCTCTAGTGTAGATGTGCACCCCTAGATGTGCAACCCATTTCGACTTGCTATATAATAGGTCCTTATGCTGGTACTGGGAATGACATTTCCCACTGGGCAAGCCTGGGTTATGAAAATAAGGTGAACAAGCTCATTGCACCAACATTACAAGCCACAAGAGAATACTCAAAAACAGACGTGCTTTCTTTCCAAAGCTTACTGAGAAAGGTCATAAATGCTAAACTGATTATGAATTGAGCCACAGGGAGTTCTCTGCCTCGCCCTGCCAGCCATAGATATGCCAATATTTCTGTGTGACTGTTTCAAGTACCTGCTGGATAGTATCCAGTTCCTTCCCTTAAGCGGTTTAGAAACTCTGCGGTGTCTGGGGATTTAGTTTAAAAGCAAATGAAGATTTCATACATGAAGCCGACTTGGGCTCCCTCCTAGCGATGCTCCCAGTCAAGTACAAGACCATTTTCTGTGTTTTTCTCCCCTAGAATTTTAGCTTACGAGAAAATGTCACATTGATTAGACCAGAAACCGCTTGCGGTTTAATCTAGGCAATTTCACAGCTCCATTGATTTCCATGGCGCAAGGGGAACCAACTGTAAGGAGGGATTAGGACAAGAAAACTAACAAGCTTTTGACTCTGTACAGCAATTCTCCCCTTCTGCCTAGTTGCCCCAATTCTCCCACAGAGATATTTATCCACACAGAGCCTTTTGAAAAACTATTTTATAAACAAATTAATGTGACATTTCAAAAGTTGTGATGATAATTCCCCACTCCACGCATTTACTTCCGGTGAGTGTAAGTTCTGTTTGGAAAAACATTTGCTACTTAGGCGAACAGCGGGCAACGAGCTGGTGCAATGTCTGTTGAAGTAAAACAAAAAAAGCAGGAAAAAATACTCTGAATGTTAATAATATGATTTTAAAAAATGTTTCATGAAATCTATCCAAGGGGTAATGATGAGAATAAAAGAATTAAACTAATCTTTATTTACAAAGGCTCCAGAAGCTGGTTTCCATGGATAGGGTAGGGTGGCAGTCATTAGCTATGAAGGGACTTCCCAGGGCTGGCCATATTCAGACAAAAGCAACAAAGGAATGTGATGTTTCTCTTAAAGGGAAAGGTTTCCCCTGACATTAAGTCTAGTCATGTCGGACTCTAGGTGGTGGTGCTCATCTCCATTTCTAAGGCAAAGAGCCGGCGTTGTCCGTAGACACCTTCAAGGTTATGTGGCCAGCATGACTGCATGGAGCGTCATTACCATCTTGCAGAAGCAGTACCTATTGATCTACTCACATTTGCATGTTTCCGAACTGCTAGATTGGCAGAAGCTGGGCCTAACAGTAGGAGTTCATCCCATTCCCAGGATTCGAACCACCAACCTTTCAGTCGGCAAGTTCAACAGCTCATCGGTTTAACCTGCTGCGCCACCAGAGGAATGTTTCTCTTAGATAGATCTTAAAATTTGAAGGAAGCAAAAGGTTCAAGGGTAGTGATTGATACAATGCCAGGAATTGTTTATTGCCCTTCCTAATGATTACGGTATATGTTGAAATCTCACAGAACCCATATCCACAGTTTTACTTACTCATTCCCTGGGGCAAAAGTTGTTGTGCAGAGCATGTTTTAGCCAAGTCCCATGCAAAAGACACACAGGCAAGAGAAACAAAATGAACAGAAAAACTTTACTCTTATCAGCAGAGGCATAAACTTGCTGTGTTGCATACAAAATCAAACAGTGCAATAAACTTACATAGTCCTTGTAACACAGATTAAGGCTTCTTCATCTTCATTCAAGTGAGAGAGCAAAACATAAACCTTGAGTAAATAGCTATTCCACCATAGCAAAGAGCATTGCTGCAGTGCTATAGCAGCATTGCAGTATATTGTTTCTCTTCCTCAGAGTAGCATATTGCTTCTCCAAACTGCCTTCCAAAATCCATACAGTTATACCCCACCGGGTGTTCCCCAAACATGCTAGCTGACCTACATTACCAGCTGCACATAATAATCATTAACATCATAAGGTTTTTCTTTAACAACACTTGATCCTGCTACGACTTACTGTAATAAAAGTAACCTCTCAAGAAATGTGTTAGGTTCCCAGTGCAATTCTATGCAATACGTCCTCCAGAATCTATTATTGCATTGTATTGGAGGACCTAGCTAATTCCTAAAGAGAATACAATTTGAGGAATCTCTGGGTGCTCCAATGAAACTCTATCGGATGCTGAGATCGGAGCTGGAATAATTCAGTGATGCTTAGTCGTATCTGTTTCACATAACTGTGGTCTATTGTCCTGTGGATATGGGGCGGGGTGTGTGTGTGTGTCTTACCATACATATATTGATGCCACCTACTTCTGACATTATTGAACTCAAAAGAGTTTTGCTTATGAATATACCTGGTTATAGCTTTGCCAGCTTAGTAACAGCAAGTTACATGGCTGATACCAGATGAGAAACTCCCCCTTGGGCACACAGAAGACTGGGCGACTTGGAAGGCTCTGAACAGACTGCGCTACGGCCAGTCTTAAGAAATGGGGCCATAATATGCGATTGCAGAGAAGAGCAAACCATAGAGCTCTTACTACAATGCAGTCTGAGCCCTGCCACATGCACAATGGAGGACCTTCTTTCAGTGACACTAGAGGCACTCCAAGTGGCCAGCTTAGCTTCTGGTCAAAGAAAATCTAGCACAACACCAAGTTTTTAACTTTGTGTCTTTTAAAATACATTATAACTGTATCACGTCTGACAATATAAATAAAGAAAGAAAGCTTAGTAACTGGATAAAACACTTGTCCTTTTAACAATTGTTTCAAAGAGGGAATCTCAGCAAATGATGCTTATCACACAATCAGATAACAAGTAACACCTCTTCTACGCAACTGTTAAAGGCACAAAAAGGTATTCCTGTTTTTCACTCTGGCAACCCTGTGTGGATAGGATTAGCCATACAAAGACAAATATAGGATGACTGCTCGCCACTGGCAAAATGGGATCAGTGCTATTTTAGATCCTGTGTATCTTGCAGACATAGGAGACTTATGATCAACGGCTACTCCATTCGTCATAATACATACATGAAAAACAAGATGCATGTGTAAATCTGTTGGCTCTGCACTGTGTGAGAGTGAAGGAGCAAGTCAAAGTAGAATTGCAAGAAATCTGCTGAAATTCCTTCTTTTGCATAGCAGTTAAAGACAATAAACTTCTTCGGTTTTCTGAAGATTACTATAGCTTTGTTATATATGAGAAGACCAATTTCAACAGATGTTACTTGTAACTTGTTTGCATGACAAACATTTCAAGTTCTCTCTAATCTCTCATACAAAACAATGGATATAGGGTTAGGGCATGAACCAACAACATTTGAATATTAAATGCAAGGGGGCTTAATTTTGAATAAGTAGTAGGTCTCCTATTAAGATATTAATAATATATACTACTATGGTACGGGTCCCCTGGTGGCGCATTGGGCTAAACCACTGAGCTGCTGAACTTTCTGACCAAAAGGTTAGTGGTTCGAATCCGGAGAGTGGAGTGAGTTCTCGCTGTTAGCCACAGCTTCTGCCAATCTAGCAGTTCGAAAACATGCAAGTGTGAGTAGATCAATAGGTACCATTTCTGCAGTATGGTAACGGTGCTCCATGCAGTCATACTGGCCACATGACCTATGAGGTGTCTACAGACAACGCTGGCTCTTAGAAATGGAGATGAGCACCACCCCCAGAGTCGGACACAACTAGACTTAATGTCAGGGTAAACCTTTACCTATACTACTATGGTCTGAACTGCATGCTTTCCTGTTACTATACAGTCTCTAGAAGTCATGAAGATGTTTTATGATAAACATATAACATGTTGGATCCAAGGGTTGTGTGAATAGGTGTACACTCAAATAATTAGAGTTCTATTTCTGTCTACTCCCCAAAACATTTCCATAGGATTAGGGAACATCTAAAAAAAAATTAAGTTAGATGAGGGTTATGATTTAGAAAATGGTGGATAAATGCACAAAATTAGGGGACTCCTCACATTGGGAGACTTTAGGGGGCACACAAACCTCACAATATACTTTCATTGCAAAAAAATTATCAAAAACAAAACCCAAATGTTCTCCAAAACCCACTACCACTGTTTCTCAACCTGAGGGTCAGGACCCCTGGGGGGGTCATGGGGGGGGGGTCAGAGGAGTTGCCAAAGACCATCAGAAAACACAGTATTTTCTGTTGGTCATGGGGGCTCTGTGTGGGAAGTTTGGCCCAATTGGTGGGGTTCACAATGCTATTTGACTGTAGGTGAACTGTAAATCCCAGCAACTACAGCTCCCAAATATCAAGGTCTACTTCCCCCAAACTCCACCAGTGTTCACATTTGGGCATATTGAGGATTTGTTCCAAGTTTGGTCCAGATCCATCATTGTTTGAGCCCACAGTGCTTGCTGGATGTAGTTGAACTACAACTCCCAAACTCGACCCTTCCAGTATTTTCTGTTGGCCATGGAAGCTCTCTGTGCTAAGTTTGGTTCAATTTCATTGTTGGTGGAGTTGAGAATGTGCTTTAATTGTAGGTGAACTATAAATCCCAGGAAATACAACTCCAAAATGACAAAATCAATCCTCTCCCAACCCCACCAGTTTTCAAATTTGGGCATATCGGGTATTTGTGCCAAATTTGGTCCAGTGAATGAAAATTCATCCTGCATATCAGATATTTACATAATGATTCCTAAGAGTAGCAAAATTACAATTATGCAGTAGCAACAAAAATAATGTTATGGTTGGGGGTCAGCACAACATGAGGAACTGTATTAAGGGGTCGCAGCATTAGGAATGTTGAGAACCACTGCACTAGAGACTGTGAGAGCATGTTCGTCACATACTAAGAGTCTTCGGGTCATTTTAGAAAAGAAATTATTTTTTTTAAAAAGTCCTTTCTTGTGTCTAAAATGACCCCAGGAGGACCCCAAACATGGTGAAAATGCCCCCTTTTTTTGTCATGTCAGGAGCGACTTGAGAAACTGCAAGTCGCTTCTGGCGTGACAGAATTGGCCATCTGCAAGGACGTTGCCCAGGGGATGCCAGGATGTTTTGATGTGTTACCATCCTTGTGGGAGGCTTCTCTCATATCCATGCATGAGGAGCTAGAGCTGATAAGAGGGAGCTCATCCACGCTCTCCCGGGATTCAAACATCCAACGTGTCGGTCTTCAGTCCTGCCGGCACAGGGGTTTAACCCTCTGCGACACCGGGGGCTGAAAATGCCCATATGCATCATTTTACGGCCCATGAATTGTATCAATCCCCTTTCTTCCAACATGCTTGAAATCCGTCCCTTGTTTCTTGAAAGTCTATTTTTAAATGCCTTAATTTCTGAAATGTTTCACATATGTGGTAAGGCCAACTATAGCTTATTGTTAAAGTTATGTCTTTCATCTTCTTATTAGTCTAAATGTAATAAAATACATTAGGGCTAAAAGTTGTTTAAACAAGATTTATTGACAAGTTCAGCACACAAGGTTTTGCAAAAACACACACACACAAAAACCACAACCTTGACTTTTCCATAATCACAAAAACCTTGAATACTAGAATTCAAGGAAAAGATGTTGATTACTTCCAAGGGCATTGAAGTTAACAGTGCACACTGATCTACAGTAGGACTGAAATAAAGCTTGGGCCATTGTGGTGATTTGAAAAATGGAAATCTCCTTTCCTGAACAGACAGAACAGCTGCTGGGAGGATCACGTGCTGTTTCTCAAGCCCTTCAAATCCATTTTCGTGCATGTCTTCATTGGTCTCCCACTTCCAAGAGATGCTTTCATCAAGGAAGGTTAGCACAGTGCCCTAATTCATCCATGATACTAGTACTATTTTTAATCTCCGTTTTGAAATGTGTGAGCACGTTTTTCTTTCATTAGAGAGCCCCATTCTATCAGAATGATTGGAAGAGGCCGGTTTCCAGAGGATTGTGCCACTTAAATCTCTAAAATGATTCAGCATTAGAAACATTACACAACAACTAAAGGCACTTTAAAACATTTAGACATGTTTTAACCTTTATGGAGGTATTAAAATTCTAATTTTAATGTCATGAAGGTATAAACAAAAAAGAAATAAAAGTTGAAAAGAACAATTTTATGAAGTCTGTTTAAAAGCGGGTCCTGTTAAAAATATGCCGCAGCAGCAGGTGGCTCCTGCATGGGAAATATATTTATGTGATTAAAATGTCATGTTAGAAAATATATTTTGAGGCTTGGAAGCTGATAGAGAACTTTCTGATGTAGCTGGCAGCTCCCCTGTAAAGGCAGTGAAGCGATACTCCTTGTTAAGGTCCCTCTTAATGTCGGCTATCTCTGCTTCTATCTTTTCAACCTGTGGGTAAAAAAACATATCTGGGTAAAAATACAGTATGTATCACATTAAGAATACCATACGAAAAGAATATGGTCACATTTCCACATTCATTTATTGTTTGTTTGTTTGTTTCTCATGTCAGAAGTGACTTGAGAAACTGCAAGTCACTTCTGGTGTGAGAGAATTGGCCATCTGCAAGGATGTTGCCCAGGGGATGCCCGGATGTTTGATGTTTTACCATCCTTGTGGGAGGCTTCTCTCATGTCTCCACATGGGGAGCTGGAGCTGACAGAGGGAACTCATCCACGCTCTCTCAGATTCAAAGCACTGATCTGTTGGTCAGCGGTCCTGTCAGCACAAGGGTTTTAACCTACTGTGCCACCAGAGGCTCCTGGAGTGGAAATACCACTTTTTTGGACTATCATTCCCACAATTCCTCAAAAGTAACTTTTCAAAGCTCCGATCTGGATAGATATACTGAAGAATTGCCACATCAATCCCAGAATAAAGCTCTAGATCAGTCAAGGAAGCATCAGATAAGAATTGCACAGAACTGAAAACACTGCCATAGCATCTCTGTAGAATTCATACCGTTTGATACCACTTTAACAGCTGTGTTTCAATTCTATGAAAAAAAATGGTGTTTTACAAGGCTTTTCACCTTATCAACAAAAGAGTGCTGGTGTTTCATCAAACACCATGATTCTATAGCACTAAGTTATGTCAGTTAAACTGATGTAAAGCTCATTAATTCTACAGCGTAGTCAGTGATTCCCAAACTTTTTTTGACCAGGGACCACTTCAACAGGGACCACTTGGACAGGGACCACTCTCAAACATTAGTACCAAAAGGGTTACAAATCAGCTTTTGATCAACTTTAGATTTGGTTGGTTATTTGGGGTGCCAATTCAGAAAATTGCATTGGATAGACCACATCAGCTCTAGTTTCGGATGCAGAACATATTCCATCCAGTAGTTGCCATCTGCTCACCCACAGAAAACCATATTTAATAATCTAGAGCTGATGTGGTAGTAGTAATCTTTTGTGGGTAGTCAGCCTCTCCCCTCCCAACATCTCCGTTGCCTCAACAGTATAAGAGGCTTTCGCGAGATAAGTCGCTCTCTTTGCCACACAGTTTTGCGGCAACGGTGTAGTAATGGTGAGGCTGTGGACCATATTTTTGTTCTTGCAGACCACTGGTGGTCCATGGACCACAGGTTGGGAACCACTGGCATAGATGAATGGATGCTACATCAGGCTAGTATTGTGTGCCTACTGAAGAATTGATTAGGAAACTGTGGCCGTGATCCAGTGTAACTGCACTGCTATACATTTACGAGTATATGATGCTAAAACTTGATGGGCTCTTAACCTAACCAATATACTGGACCATGGACTTTCTTGAGCTAGAGCTCACATTTCCAGAAGCAATAATAATAATAAATAAATAAAATAAAACTTTATTTATACCCCGCTACCATCTCCCAAGGGACTCGGTGCGGCTTACATGAGGTCAAGCCCACAATACATCAATAATAAAAGCAATAACAACAAATAATACAAAACAATAAAATAAAACTCATAACAAAAATAAGCAATAAACATTAGCAGTAACACAGCGACATTTAAAAACCTATGGCTGGGCCAAATGTAATAATTAAAATTTAAAAATAATGCTGAGAATGAACAGATGAAATATGAACTAGGATAAAGTTTTTAGAGAGGGATGGGGCATGCAGACACTCCTAGATCCATAGTAAAGTGCATTTAGAGGACATATTGCTGGGAGTTTCCTTATTCTGGGAAGGAACACTGGAACAACCATGTTTTCAGGCTCCTCCTAAAGACTGCCAGAGTTGAGGCATGCCTGATGTCCTTGGGGAGTGAGTTCCAGAGTCGAGGGGCCACCACCAAGAAAGCCCTTTCCCTCGTCCCCACCAATCGCGCCTGCGATGGAGGTGAGAGCGTGAGCAGGGCCTCTCCAGATGATCGAAGGGGTCGTGTGGGTTCGTACACAGAAACCCAATGAAGCAATGAAATGTTAGCCTCAATGCTGCAAAGAGTTATGGTTTAACACAGTACTCTTTAAAATCTTCTCTTATTCCTTGTGTAACATAATGCTATCCTTGTTTACTTGGAATTGTCTCACTCATTAAAGCAAAAATGACTCCCAAGTAAAAGTGAATACAACTGCAGCTCAAGGTCTTCCAAAATGAATCAAAGCCAAACCTTATGGTGCCAAATAAATCAGCTTGAATGTGGTTTCCAGATTTGGTTTATGGACAAACTATGGACCATGCAAAGTATGGTTTATTCTAGTAGGCAGAGTGAGCCAACTGTCTCGAGGAACAAATGCTGGGAAGCAGAAATAATTGTCCTCCAGCCTTTCTTCCCAAGCTCCATGGCCTTTCTAACTCTTGAAGGACAGCACTGTGTGCATCACAGAGACACTCTTTGGACTGGCCTGCTATTCTCTGATGTGATGGTGAAGAGCCTCTTCCCATTGGTAGTACTGCATCTAACAGCACACTCAGATCTTTTATATATAATGGAATAGAGCCAGGAGAGACACATCTGCCTCTCCTATGCTTATCAAGATCCAGTATATGGTATCATAAAATATAATTTCCTGCTATCTTAGAAGTGAAATTGAGAAATGGGTGTCCAAGGGCGAAAGGCCTGGGAAAGGTGCACGTAAGCACAAATCTCACTCAAAACCCTTCAGAGAAGGAATTGGCTCTCCAAAACATTTTGTGTGAACCAGCCCTATATTTCAAAGTGAACAAATGGAGCATACGGTTTGAAAGTCTTGCTTGGCTCTCTCCATATCTTCCTGGGGTACTCCTGTTAACTTCTTCCTTCTTTCTTTCATCATAAGCATATGTTGCTTAATACGGTTTTCCACTTCCTTATATTTCTCAGCTCTGAAAGAGAGAATAAGATTTCAGTTTGTCCCACACTTCCATGTAAAGAAATGTACTGCATTTCTAAGAAATACCACTGCAAATATTTAAAACAAACTAGCCGTCCCCTGCCAGGCCTTGCTGTGGCCTGGTGATCTGGAAAATAAAGTAATGAGAAAGTGTTGGTTTCTAATATATATAATTCCTTTATGATTGTGGATAAACAGTATTTCTTGTTGTTTCTTTGTCAGTGTTGATGTAGAGATTGTCTGGTTTGCTTACTCTGGAACATGCAACATATAGTTGTCCTTCTTTAGGGGTCACTTTCAAATCTATGATATGCTATCTGTCATAGACATGTGTGTGTGTGTGTGTGTGTGTAAGAGAGAGAATCATATATATCTATCAATATCTATGGCTGGATGGCTCTTTGTTAGGAGAGCTTTGATTATGTTTTCTTGCCCTGGTGAAGGGAGCTGGAATGGATGGCCTTAAGGCAGCATTTCTCAACATGGCCGTCAGGACCCCTGTGGCGGGTCACGAGAGGGTGTCAGAAGGGTCGCCAAAGACCACATTTTATGTTGGTCATAGGAATTCTGTGTGGGAAGTCTGGCCTAATTCTATCATAGGTGTGGTTCAGAATGCTCTTTGATTGTAAGTGAACTATAAATCCCAGTAACTACAACCCCCAAATGTCAAGGTCTATTTCTCCTAAACTCGATCTGTGTTCATATTTGGGCATATGATGTATTAATGCCAAGTTTGGTCCAGATCCATCATTGTTTGAGTCCACAGTGCTCTCTGGATGTTGATGAACCACAACTGCAAAACTCAAGGTCAATGCCCACCAAACCCTTCCAGTATTTTATGTTGGCCATGGGAGTCCTGTGTACCAAGTTTGGTTCAATTCCATCATTGGTCGAGTTCAGAATGCTCTTTGATTGTAGGTGAACTATAAATCCTAGCATCTACAACTCCCAAATGGAAAAACAACAACATTTTTAGTGATGGTCACTCCTTGGATTAGTAGGTGTCTTGTGGCCAAATTTGGTGGCAATTCATCCAGTGGATTTTGAGTTATGATGTCACTCAAAACGAACAGAGCATGTGTGTGTGTGTATGTATGTATGTATGTATGTGTATGTATGTATGTATGTATGTATGTATATGGTAAAATATAGTCTGTGAGATATGTCTGTGTGTTTTTTTTGTCGCTTTGGGCTACTGGTGCCGAGTCACCGTGCTGCTAATAATTTACTCTGCTGTACATTTATGAGGAGGGTCTTTTGTTATTAATCCCACTTGCCCAACATAGTATAGTATATTTTAGAGATGAAAGGGACAACCAGTGAGCACATCAACCATCTAACTCTTCCTGAAAGTAATACAAAAGATGCTAGAGAATTTCTAAAGCAAAGCTTAGTAGATTCTGGAGATGTATGCCAAAATGTAATTTTTCCAAACTGTAGGAAAGTTACAGATTGTTTCACAAAGTATATGCTGATCTGCAAGAGATTGGACACAAATTCAAAATGGGCAAACTACCTCATCTTCCTAGATAGCCTTGCATACCAATTTGTCTAGAAACATCCACTATGTATTATATTTTTTGAAAGTATATTTATTCTATTTTATTTCTATTCTGTTTCAAATGCATGGTTGTTACACAGTAGGTAATGTTTTCGTGCTGTTTCCTTGCATGTGTCTTCAAAATATGAGCATAATTACGTTTGTTTGCAAATACGTTTGACAAAGGCTTCAGAAATTACAGTTAGTAGTAGTACTTTTCTGCGCAGCCATGGTTTTTTGCAAAGCATGAAAAGTGCAGAAACTTCTGAAAATCTATATATCTGTCTGCACAGAAGAGAAATAGGAGATCCATGATTGTACCATTGTTTTCAGGAGCAACAAAAAATATTGCCACAGAGTCCCTTCTCTCTAATCAGTGGGTATCAATTGCTTTGTTATCAGCAGCTGTTGAAGGAGAAGATAGTTTAAGGTGATTAAGTACAAAGAGCCGGCTGCTCTTTTCAAGCTCTTAGAAGCCTCCGGCCAATTAAAGCTTCTACCCCTGATGGTAGCAAAGTATGTACATGAATTTTCAAGACAACTATAGTTAAATCCCAGAGAAGAACTATGTTGCAGCAAAGACAAGTTATTTTATGCCTTGAAAATTAACAGCTCTCCATGTGCATTCTTAGTGATATATAAGAATATCCACAATTTTTCTCCTCAGAGAGAAAACTCTTGTTATGGTCCGAGAGACTCAATGAAAAAAACTACCAACTGTGGTGAATTTCACATTCATAGATTATTTTCTTGAATATTCACATGTCGCATGCATTTTTGCTTGTAATAGCCTGATAAATGTAAAATTCTCCAATTTTGTTCTGGTTCGTATATTCCACTGGGAAGTGCAAATGAGGTCAGTTCATATTCAAATACAGACAAAATTGATTCCCCTAGGAGGGACAGGCACATTAGCAGGGAAGGCTAATCATCCTAGAGGCAGAATCACTCCTAAACTGTCTCCCATCCCAAATAATCTGGATAGTCATAGCAGCAACCCCCAACCCCTTCCGGATTTAAAATGCTGCTGCTTAATGTTGGGTTGGTGAATGGTAAAACAGCTGCTATTCAGGACGTGAACCTGGATGAACATGCAGACCAGGTCTGTATTAAAGAGAACTGCTTGAATGAGGCTGGTGGGGTTAATTTCTCTGCAATTGCTCACCAGGATTACCTGTACAACAGCAGGCAAGGCCATGGGGTGGGTGGGTGGGTTGGGGAGTTGCAGTGGTCTATCAGGATGGTATCCCCCTATTGCTTAGTCTACAGGGTATCAGTGTGTTTATTTAAAGGTGAGTAGCTTGGGCAGACTAGTAATTCTGTTGAGACATCACAAACCCCGCAACAGTCTCCCTTCCTAAACTAGACAGGATGCTCTTGAAGGTGGTGTCGGGATCTCTGTGGCTTATGATGTAGGGGGACTTCAGCATCTATGACGAGGCTACCTTGTTGGGACTTCATCTCCAACATGACAACTGTGGATCCCAAGTGGTATTCCCCCCCATCATGCTACATCCCCCCCCCTCCCACCTACCCCCCTTTTCCGTTCGGGGGGGGGATGTAGGGGATCTGGGGGCCCTTCCACACAGCCCTATATCCCAGAATATGAAGACAGAAAATCCCACATTATCTGAATATAACCTCAGATAACCCAGTTCAAAGCAGATATTGTGGGATTTTCTGCCTTGATATCCTGGGATATAGGGCTGTGTGGAAGGGCCCTGGGAATGGAAGAGCTTTTTATTGTTCTGTTGTCATGAACAGATCACAGTAGTTAAAAAAACCAAGCACATATATTTTAAAACCTCTATAGCAGGGGTCCTCAAACTAAGGCCCGGGAGCCGGATGAGGCCCTCCAAGGTCATTTACTCACTCAGGGTCAACCTAAGTTTGAATCGACTTGAAAGCACACAACAATAACAACAATCCTATCTCATCAGCCCAAAGCAGGCCCACACTTCCCATTGAAATACTAATAATTTTATATTTGTTGAAATTGTTCTTCATTTTAATTATTGTATAGTTTTAAAGTGTTTTTTGCACTACAAATAAAATATGTGCAGTGTGCATAGGAATTCATGTTTTTTTTTCAAATCCGGCCCTCCAACAGTTTGGGGAACTGTGACCTGGCCCTCTGTTTAAAAAGTTTGAGGACCCCTGTTCTATAGTAAGTGGTCAGTTGCTAAATCCTGCCTGAAAAGACACCAGGAAGTTGTAGTCTAACATTGAGAACTCCATACGTTGCCCACCCTAAATTCAGCAAACAAATATTCTTATCCTTACCTTAAATCACCTATCATTTTCAGGGTTTTCTCTGTGTTTTCATCGTGTCTAGGTGGTTCTTTCCAGCCTTCTAGCTTGTCATTTTTTACATTATCAGTAGCATAAGGTGCGTTTTGTGAAACCTGGAAAAAATAGCGTAACATAACATTAAAACACTTTGAGAAAAGAAATATGGGAATGCATTGATTTAGGGCCCTTCCACACAGCCCCATATCCCAGAATATCAAGGCAGAAAATCCCACAATATCTGCTTTGAACTGGGTTATCTAAGTCCACACTCAGATAATGTGGGATTTTCTGCCTTGATATTCTGGGATATAGGGCTGTGTGGAAGGGCACTTAGGACCTTTCTACACTGCCATATAAAATCCAGTATATCAGCTTTGAACTGGATTATATGGCAGTGTAGGCTCTCATAATCCAGTTCAAAGCAGATAATGTGGATTATCTGTTTTGATAATATGGATTATATGGCTTATATATTGGATTATGTTATATAGAAGGATTATGTTATATAATATGGATTATGTTATATAGAAGGGGCCTTAAATTGACAAAAGATTCAGCAAGGCACAGGGCATATTCTTGTGCAATAAACATCGTTAGATGTGAGAAGTTAACATCAGCATAGTGCAGTGGTTCTCAACCTGGGGTCCCCAGATGTTTTTGGCCTTCAACTCCCAGAATTACCAGCTGTTAGGATTTCTGGGAATTGAAGGCCAAAAACATCTGGGGACTCCAGGTTGAGAACCACTGGCATAGTGTTTGGCACAAAGAAAAATCAAGGTTGCTTTTGGATTCCCCCACCCCACCGCCCCCACCCCCATATGATACTTCAAGCCTTGGTTGGTTGACTATGTGGGTGAAGAACCCATGGATACAGATGCCCAGTTGTATTGCTTTTAAAAAGAATCAGGAATAATAAATAATTCTTCACCTCTTTTCCTTTATATCAGAAATACAGAAACAATGGTGAAGCATGAAATGGTGATGAGAAGGAAAGGAAGAAAAATGGTAAATTGTTTCTTGCAAACTGAAGAAATGCACATGGACACCTAATTGTGGTCCTTAAAGATAATTAAGATCAAGGGCTGAAATGATCCAGTTGCACCATTACCTTAAAAATATTCAGAACTCTCAGATATGATGATATACAAACTCTTTACTAATGGAGTCCTTACTCTGTTCAGCTTGATATCAAATAAATTACATTGGCTTTTGATAAGTTGCATTAATGGATATGTCAGTGACACTCAATGTAAAAGCTCTTGATGAAGGCCAGCCCACATCAGACCTTATCAGCTCTTGAAGAGTTCTCAAAGAAGCCGAGTTATTTTCAGGGAAACATGTTGTGTGGGAAAGTTAATATGAACCAATTTTGATAGGTGAAGGCTAAAAAAACAAAATGAAACAAAAATCCCCTGGGGAAGAGTTTGCATTTTTTTTTTTGTTCAAAGAAAGATTTATGGATGCTTTACGGTGCTGGCATTCTGGCAAGGTCAAAAACACTTTAATAAAGTCGGAAACATTAAACAGCCTTTTCCCTTATAAGTTTGAAGGTCTGTTAGTAAACATTGGAAATGTGGAGGATAAACACATCTGTTTTGGTGTTCTAGATCTAGGTTTTTGCTTTTCATGGGACTAGAAAATGCAAAGCTTTTCTGTGGACTCCAACAAAAGCAAGGTCCCCAATTTATTTCAATGTTCACATAATATTTTCACAAGTTTCTTTCTAGAAAAGATTGTATTATGGATCAGGTAGGCTTCAGAAGCCTACCTTGAGGGGGAAGAGCACTGGTTTGAATGTCAAATTGTGTTCCATGGTTTAGAAAGCAAACAAGACAACGTGCATTTTAGCATTGGAGAGCAAGAGCACACATCCCGCAAAGAGCTAAAATCAAATAAAAGCAGATATGAAACAAACCTCAAGAAATGGTAGATGGAGCAGAGAGAAATACTCAAGTCACAATTATTAGAGCATTTTTACTCTAATAATTTTACTCTAATGAGTTAAAGGTGGGTTGGTTACCTCCAAAATATTTTTATAATATTAAAATTAAACGTCATCACTACTATCACCATGCGATCCATTAGCTGTAAAAATAATTAAGCTTGTGCAATCTGGGTAAATTGTGATCCGTGATCCAGTGGGGGTCCTGATCCATTTTTTTGGGAGCCTCCCAAATTTGGGAGGACAAAAATCTGTTTTCAATCTGGGAAGCCAAAAGATTTGTTTTCTATCCAGCCCATTATGGGAGGGGGCGGGGGGGACACTTCCCAGGCTTCCCGTCATTTTTGGCATTGTTTGTCCTTATATCCTTCATTAAGACCTGGATTAAAAGCATCAGAATTAAGATACCACTCTTTCTGTGTTCCTTTCCCTTCAGTTTGCAGAGGAGACTGGGTTTAATGCTTTGTTAAAGCTGTCTCTACTCTAGAGGAGAGGCGTTGCAAGCAGGCATGCACACTTTCTCTCTGGGTTTGCACCATGCCACACAGTCTTTCCAAGGCATTTTAAGGAGGCTTCTTAAAGCTGCTTCTACTCTAGAGGAGAGACGCTGTTGGCAGGTGCGTACGCTTTCTTTCCTGAGCTGGCACCATGCCACACACTCTTTCCAAGACATTTTAAGGAGGCTTCCTACTTCTAGATATAGAAGAGGGATGGCCTGGAGCTATCCTCCCTGGGCTTTCTTTAAAAACCCCTTTTTTCTTGGCACGTTTCAATCTCCTTTCTGCTTTGGGTTTAATGCTTCCTTGGAGCTGTTTCTACTTTCTACTCTAGCGAAGAGTTAACTAGGTAGTCGCAGTTTTCAGAGAATGAGGGTTTTATTTTTGTTTGCTGGGATTATTAAAAGAGATTAAACTGTGATGCCGAATAGGGGAAGAGGAGGTAAGATTGGCTGCCACGCGGTCCCGTTACGGGTGGGAATCTGTGATGGGCCCTTGCCATTTCGGGCACCGAACAAACTGAAGAAGCCGGATTGGCCAAAGGATCCATGCACAAGCCTAAAAATCATGTTATTAATTTTCTTTTTCTTTTATAAGAGGGCTTATTCCATTCTTTTTCAATTCCAAAAATATAGAGCTCAAGGTTGTACACTATAATATAAATAACCTGCAACCATTTTTTTAAATGTGGAAAGTAGCAACCAAAAACCAAATTGGGAAAGTCAAAAAGAAAAAAAAAAACAGCATTAATCAGGAGTTTAATGTAAATTTTAAAAAAATCAGTGGTGGGAAAAGTGGTTCAGAAGAAAAGAACAAAGGAGATGAACTTCTACATTTTGGATGACACAACAGAACAAGCCTTCTTACAATGCCTACCAACTTCCATATTTCTGCAGACAGAGGAGTGCGTGTGTATGTGAGTGTATACGTGCAGTGGGATATTTAAGTTATCATTAGCTTAACCAGGATAATCTATATTCGCTAAGTTGCTCCACAGGCTCCCAGCAGTAATAGTGAGAAACACATCTCCCCTGCTCTTTGAATTTTTTTTTTTTGCTTCCTCAGCACCCTATTCTCAGAGTATAGAGTAAGAGAGCTAGGGGATCATTATAATAAGATGTCTTGTTGTAATCTATAGCTGTAATTGGGCTCTAATAGCAAAGATATAGCTCCTATTATTCTCCCGATATTATTGGCCACAATTCTCATTAGTTTACAAAAGTTACACGAGTTCCCAGAATCCTCCACACAACATGGCCCTTGGCTATGTAAAGATATAACCTTTCTGTGGGCCCTATCATATATTTTATCATTACCTTGAAGTTATTTCCAAGATATGCTAAGTCAAGATTAACTTATCATGGTTTTTGTTCAGATAGGGTTTACCTTTGCCCTTTTACGAGGCTGAGAGAGTATGACTTGATCAAAGTCACCAATTAGGTTTCCATGGCTGTGCTGGCATCTGAACCCCAGACTAGAGTTCAGTGCTCCAACCACTATACCATACTGACTCTTCAAAAATATTTGTACTTTGTTATTTTACTCTTCAAATTCTGTCTTTCAAAAAAAATTATCTTTGCCTTTCATTTAAAAAACACATTAAAATAAAATCTTTCCATCTTTCTAAAAATTGCTGAAGATGGCACCTTCCACTGAACACACAGAGACTGGGAACCAGGCCAGCAGCTCCTTCCCAATGCATTCAATGAATGTGAACATTGAAGGTGAGTACACACTGTCTTCTAGTTTACATATAGCTTCTCCTCTGTTTGGTTTCCTAGAGGTGAATCTTGGCCCCCACAGGCAACCAGAGGAGTGGCTATTTATGAGTTTGCTCTAATTCTGGGATTAGTGACTTGACAGCAGGAGAATTAATCTTTCATCTGTTTTCTCTCTCCGTGGCCGATGTGACTAAAATCTTTGTACGGATGAAAAAAAGGGGATTACTAAAACGTAGACGTGTCTTTCTGAAAAATAGAATGTAAAGCTTTTTTTTTTTAAATAGTATTATGAGTTAAATTGTTGCATTTCTTAAAAATACATTATAAGACATATGCAGATAAATACAATTTGTGTTTTGTGCCTTCAAATTGGTTCTGATTTCTGGTGATCTTAAAACAACACTACTATGACAAAACTAGTTGGAGTAAAGGCTTTGCCCTCCTCTGAGGCAGAGGGGTGGGTTTCCATATGCCAAGTGAACAGAGTTGAAATCCAACATGAATTCTTTTTCATGTCAGGAGCAACTTGAGAAACTGCAAGACAATTTTGGTGTGAGAGAATTGGCCGTCTGCAAGGATGTTTGATGTTTTTACCATCCTTGCGGAAGGCTTCTCTCATGTCCCCACATGGCAAGCTGGAGCTGACAGAGTGAGCTCATCCACGCTCTCCCCGGATTCGAACCTGCGACCTGTTGGTCTTCAGTCCTGCTGGCACAAGGGTTTAACTCACTGTGCCACTGGGGCATAGATGTACATAGACAAGTTTTATTGAAGCGTCAAAGTAAACCCTAATGTAGAAGGGTTTAATCCATTATGCCACCAGGGGCTCCTAACATGCAAATGACTTTTTTTTTTTGGTTGTGTCAGGAGCGACCTGAGAAACTGCAAGTCGCTTCTGGTGTGAGAGAATTGGCTGTCTGCAAGGACGTTGCCCAGGGGACGCCTGGATGATT